AGAGACTGTTGTACAGATACCCAGCAGCAACCGCACCGCACTGATTTCAGACTACTGGTCCCTGGCCTAAGCCGTGTTTGGCGACAATGGTGGAGATTGCCACGTGGGTTAGCAAGCCACACGGAAATTCGCACTCGACGCCAGGGGCCTGGTCTGAAGGATTTTGTGCGGTACGCTGGCACATGGGAGACTGGGCCCAAATTTGAAGTAGACGCCGCTTACGAGACAAACACCGACAGGGAACACCACTGACCGACTTGTCACCTGAGTCATCATAACCCCCGAGACCTGTCCAAAGAAGGGACACAGAGGCGCCTGTTGAGACGACAACTGCCCTGGGCTGGTTCATCGGCTTGAACCCATCGTCCATCACCAACCGATGAAGATGGGCGGTCGCTAGTTCGAAATCGCCGATCTCGCCGTGTTGCCACGAACTGACGGCTACGCCGATCAAGCGTGAAACCGCAAGAAACGCGGAACCAGCAGGGTGCGGTCCGGATACCGGCGTGGCTTTCACGCTTCGTATGCATGCTGTGGTGCTTAAATTACAGGTCGGCGGGATCAAGGGAAAAATCTCCAATGCCACATGGCAGGGCCGGGTATTCCCTTGCCGCCCTGCCATGCCTTTAGCTGAGATCGGTGAAGTCACCGCGTGCACAGGGGAGGACGAGAACACGCCTCAGGCGTACAACCCCCAGTGTACGCATGTGCATTCGATACGGCAAAGCGGATATACAATGGAGGTGAAGCAAGCAAGCAAACAACCCGTTGGAGGCACCCGCCAACGACATGGCTCCGAGTGGCCGGGTCAAAGCGGTAAGCGATGAACCATCGCAGCCCAGGGCAACGCGGGTATGGGTGGGCAGGAAGCCCAGCACAAGATACCGACAGTATGTCACCAAAGGCGGGTTGCTGGTCGCCCGCTGGAGAATGGGCCAAGCTCCAAAAACTTTCATCCAGGTCGGCGGCTTCGGGGCCAATGGTGCGTATCGAACAAACGCAACGCATGACGAAGCGGTCATTTCAGACCAACCTTGGCCAGAGGTCTCGGGGAGAGCCCCCGAGACACATGAGAGCCAGTAACGAAGCGATGAAGAAACAAACTATAGCCGGCCAATCCCACTCGTTACTTGGTATAGAGTTAAAGTGTCTCCTGGCGCGGTGTGGACAACATTGAGCAAGATACTCCGCGGGAGCCACTCCTCAGCAATGATATGAAACTTTTCTTTGGCACTTCTCTTTCCAACCTGTTTCCAGGACCAGTCAACACCGCTTTTTTTCCCCATCCCGGCTCGTCACAACGTCGCGTGGCACATTTTTGACACCGGATCCAGAGCAACAGCATCCTTGGTCAAGCCTTGCCAGCCGATCCCTGAGCGCAAGGTACACAATACACACCGCAAAGTTTGTCTGTACGGAGCACTTTTACACGAAAGGGAGGATGAAGGCGGCTCTCCCGGTGGAGCATGGTCGATCGGCACCCCTCCGTCGTACGACACAGCGAGCGCTTCCTAGCTGTCTAGCCTCTAGGGCCGGGGCTGACAGGTCGATCGGACTGTGACCTCGTACAAGGTACTTAGCCATGTGTTGAATTGCGTACAGCTTGCCGGCCACGACGTGGGTCGCTCGCTCTCCTCTACGCCGCCCAGCTTCATTTCGAGGCGTTTGACCTAACGCCTGTATCCATGTCAAGTCACGATGCCTCTCGGGGCCAAATAAGACCGTTTCACACAGAATGCTCTCAAATTGGGTCGCGACGGGCTTGGTTTAATGATGGACCGTCTCGACCTGAACCAAGGCCGTTTTCAAGAACATCATGGGGGGTGGGCTTGGTTCTAGAATGCCCGTGGAAGGATGAGCTTAATAGGGGGCAGCCAAGGGAGCCTGAAAAGCCGTGTCTTTAGTTTTTTGGCGGCGCCAGGGGATCAATCACGACCACGCCTCTGACAGCTGGAGCTTTTTGCCCACCTTTAGTTGACAGCCCATCCTAGCCTGCGGTACATGAAGGTCATATTGGGTATCCGGTCTGAGAAGTACGGATGGCTGCTCATCAATGCTCAGCTCGGACAACGCGATAGCCAAACATTGCCAATTTACCAGCCATGGCAGTTGCTCCTCATCGGCGGTAGTGAATCAGCGAGCCATCATTTGCTGGTTATCCGCAGGACTACCGAATCAACGCGCCCGCTCGAATCCCCGTCAACCACGCAGGCGTCACCGCTCATGGCAAGTAGCGTGAGGAACGTTACACAAAAACCGACGTTCCGCAGTACTTATCTGACTTCAATGACTCTTCTCGCTTGGCGAACCAATTGCGCGCACATTATACAGCGCTGGTTGAGCTGCCATTCAATCTTCAAATCTGCCGTTCGGCATAGTGTCCCACATGGATACGGCGTGTTCAAGTAGAGTTGAATTGGGGTTGTAGGCGCGGAGTGACCTCAACCTCATCTTCCCTGCACGACGGGAGTCCGCAGTTTTCCGAATCCAGGACCTGGATGGTCTTGGATGCTGGGCAACCGCGGATGCAGCTGTGCCACTCTCTCGCGTGGCAAAACGCCTTTGTGAGACTATGCCCTCAGGCTTTGTGCGTTTTGTTTTACCCTGTCGGGGCTTGGCGAACTGCCGATACCTCTGTCTTGGGTCCATGTTTCTACCAAAGACACAATGGAGCTCCAAGCCGTGGCTGAACACCACGCGAACCCAAGTGCCACAACCGGACTGAGCCTGAGGTGCACAGCCGTTAGTAGCTACGGCAGAGAGTGGAGGGCAGCCATGTCTGCCAGCATATCCGTTCGTTTGGGTCTGGAACTGTCTATCATCAACTAATACACGGGTGTCATTTCCTACGGATTCCTGGATGAAGGCCCTGTACCTGAAGGAGGTATTCTACCCCCTCGGGGTTCAGATTCAACGAATGTCATCTAGCGATGGCGCGGTCGAGACTAGCCGCTGCACGCACCCTTCCGCCTGTCAATTAAGTCTCGTCCCAAGACTAGAGGCAGAAGTTGTCCTGGCCGCATAGCCTCGGCTACCGCAAGTCGATGCGTGCCTAGCCGCATAGTTTGCTGCTAAAGATTGCAAATGGCCTGATTATCTGACCCCCATTCCCATACAGACGTATATGCTGGATGCTGGTATGCAGGCGAGCTTGTCGCACCTGCTGGCTGCTGTACGAACGGTGAGGCAAAGTTGAGACGAGAAGTAACGACTTTGAGGCTTGAAGCTGGAGGGCATGATCAGAGCAAGTACGATATGGCTATGGTTCCCGAATCTTCGACGACGAAGTGGCTGAACAGCTGCAAGATGTCAATTCACTGCTTGATCAGCAATGACGAGCAAACGGAAGCAAGGAGACGCCCCGGAGAGAAGAGCAATGCGCAACGGCCTGCACCAGCACGCTCTCGCCCATCTCGGGGCCCGTGACCGCCCTTTTGCTCTCGGCCAGGGACCAGCATCGCCCGCAGGTGATCTCCATCATCTTCAAGTCCGGCAGTTGCAGATGGCAGTGGGTTACAGCGTCTCGGCAGGCCGTCGAACGGAGCACTGCATGCCTTAGCGGCTCGTCGGCCATCGTCCGGAACCCTACCTGCACGGCACATCACGAGTTCGCATCTGCTGCTGATAGTGTCACGAACGCTGACGTCGTTGCAAGGGGTAACTAACCAGCAATCCCGTGTTCTTATCTGAATCCTAACCAGATCTGATGGACAGCTGCCGTCACAAACAGAGCCCCAAAGTCACAGCCCGATATAGCTGAGCCAACGGTCGATGGTTTCCAAAGGACCTATATCGGGATTGTCTTGAGTTCTGACGATGACGGCGCTATGATGGCACAATCCCTCTTTTGCCGACGCCAATGACTCGAGTCGTGGCGAAATAGGTCCTTCGGGGCATTGCTTGACCGACCATGCTAGATTACACATTACGAAACCGACGGGCACGATAGGAATTGGCATCTTCAACACGGCCGGTCATTCCTCCACAACGGCCGGCGCCGATTTCCCCAGGGGACCCGCCGCGCCAATCTCGTCTCTCCGATACCAGCGCGAGAAACTCGAGACGACGGCGCGCACTAGAATTTTCCGTTTCCGATCACTTGGGTCCCGCAAGCCGACTTCTCATTCGCCTAGAATACGATATCCCGCCGCTCGTTCGGACTCTCTTATGCGGTAAGCAGGACAGACTTGCACGCAAACACACGGGCACATACACATGCACACACACAGACGGTGAGGGTAGTGAGGGCACCTTCACGCTCCCGCAAGACGCGGTCGAGAAACAGCAAACCAAACTCTGAATGGCATCATTGCCGATAGCTGTACGACTGTGTTTTAGGGGCCTCGGACGCGTGGGTGCAACTTGGACTTTCCTTTGGTTTACGGGTACTGATGGACCGGCAACCTCCTCGCACGCTGGCAACCTCCTCAATGTACGAGCAGACCGCAAGAAACAAATTCCCGCCTCAGACCCATGGGCCAAGGCATGCGAGGGCGAAGCTTGAGCCAAGACCCCAAAGTCAATCTGGGTTTCGTTAAAGGGGTGGTGGGATGGAGGGCGATGAAATGGCTCCGTGCACATGACGACCGCGGGTTGCCCGCGCCGTGAGGCTCTTGTGACGGACACCTCGCCGGCTGCCACGGATGTCGGGAGCTTCGGTGCGTGACAGCTGTCCATCCTCCCATCTCTTCCGGAACAACTTACCATTTTGACCAAATGATCACCGTCGCCGGTCAACGATTGACTCCGGAACCCCCGTTGATTGTTGAACGCGCAAGCGCGAGATTCGTCGTGCTCCTTTATCCTGGTCCGATGACCCCGGAATGAATACATTCTGCCCTGAGCGTCTGTCGTCATACCTGCCGCCGAGTCAGGGCGTCTCCAGGCAGTTGATACACACCAAATCAACCCCCTCTTCCTCTCGACGCCCAACGGATGCTGATGACGACCTTACGGTCGGAAGGTCAGAAGAGAGAGAGACGAACAACTCAACGCCCACCATGAGCTCCTCGAAAACCCTCACGCCGCCGCTCGACGAAGGCTCGCCGCAGCTCAAGTTCTATAGAATGGAGCGTCCGACGGGACAGCTCTTCGAGCTCAAGGAGATGCAGAAGCAGCAGCTGACGGGACTCGACGAGGCGGACGAGGTCCCTCCACCCCCTGGCCCCCCTCCAATGGCTCCTCCCCCTCCTCCCCCTCCCCCGCCCCCTTTTGAGAGCGCTGAGCGCGGGCTGCGAGAATTCAACTACAACGGACGAGACATCAAACCCCGCAACAGCGAACGCAGCTCGGGCGCCCTCGGCCGGCATCGTGTCAGCTCCTACTCTATCTACTCCGACTATTCGTCTCATCCCTCTTCGGACGATGGTCGCCGTGGTGACGATAGAGAACGTCGTGATGCCGTGAACACGGGCGGCGGTGGTGGGGGCGGAGGGAGTGTGCCGCAGGTCCAACATGTCGAGCATCCGCCAAGACGGAATCTGAGTATGAGGGCTGCGCCGCCGACGCATTCGAGAAGCACTTCCGGTAACAGTCGCAGCAGCGGCCGGGGTGGCGGCTTGGTCGTCTCGCAGCCGCCGCCGACCTATGCGCCCTCCCGGGAGTTGTACAATCGTGTGCGATTCGCAGAACAGGAGCGCATCCGCCGGGAGGAGTCGAGGGCACCGGGGCCGCGGCGCATCGAGATGGTCGACGTCGTGGGCGGTCCCAGTGTAGGTGCGATGTGGGTGTTTGCGTGCTGTTACTTCTTCTGGTATCGTTGTTTGATGGACGGCGAGGACTTTTGACAACGAAGTTGTTCTCGACGTCACGAACACCACTAGCTCCGAGCCCCTTTTCTTATTTCCTTTCTCTCCCCCCCCCCCCCCCCATTCTCTTTCCGTCTCCTTCTCT